TTTTGGGATAATCTGAATTCCTGTTTTCTAGTAGGAACTTTCACTTTTTTCAGAGAAAATTTTTCCTATTCTTCATACTTTTAAACCGATAAATGGTAGTGAATAATAATTTCTGCAAAAACAGGAAAAGTAAGTGTGAAATCATACTTTATAGATTGTTTAGATGATACTAACCTTTATTTGAAAACTTGTATGCGAGATTTTAAGGATTGACTCTAGTTCCTCATATTTTGTTGGGATGTAGAAATCCGCTAAATTGACAGATACATAAAATTCACCTCCAATGTAAATGATTAAAATTATACGTAAGAAAAAATATAATGACAAAAATCCAGGCACCAAAAGTTTGGTGTTAGCATGAAGGACTGGTTTTGATAGCGTTCCGCTACTCTCAGCAGATATCGACTCAAATAAATTTCGATGCATATCCTTTAAGGTCTTTTGTACTTTAAGAGTATTCAAAAGAACCTTTCGTATATCTTCACTCTTGGAGCCAGTTCGCTCACAAAGCAAAAATTTCTGACCCCAGCACAGTTCCTTTCCTAAATCATGTTTCTGAAAATTGATGTTAGCAAATACATTAATAATTGATATTGAAACCCTTTAAGAATGTTTTATACTGTAAACATCCAGTCAAGGTGATATTCTTCTGTATTACTTGGTGCATCTATAACTTCTACTCAACGATTCCTAGAAGCTCTCGACATTACCTCATCACTTAGGAAAAATTGTAAGCATTGTTACCGGTAATGGAAAGGTATTTAAAAATAAAAATAAACTTACAAATGATTATTTAGGATAGTGTTGAAGTAAGAGAATACGTGTCTCTTTATAAACATATCAATATCTCATTCAGAATTTTGTCGCTGAGAGATTCCTTTTGCGATCATTTCGCATTTGATTGAAATTATATATGATGTAAAACTTATTAAACTGCATGTGTATTAATACTAAACTATTGAATGAACTTACGTAAACCTAATTAAATTAAAAATGAATGCAACATCAGCATTTGTGTGATCTTCAATAGATAATAGGATTTCTTCATGAAGGTTTTTATCATCATTTTCAAAAGTATCTTTATTTTTAAAGAGATCATCAGATTCTTCAGGTAATTTTTCTTTAGTGTTGTTTAATATTTTTTGCAGTTTAAGAATTACACTGTGTGTATCCTTAGGCTTTACAATTTCACCAATAATGCGAAATTGATTACCATCAAGCTGAAAAACAAAAAAAATTAAAAAGATTTCAACTAAAAATCAAAATACTTTAATCTTCATAATATACTTTTGCTAAAGAATATAGATATCTCTCTGCCATAGGTTTCAAGATCGTCCAATTTTTAAGAGAAGTTGAAATTATTATATTTAATTCTGATAATTCATTTTCTGATAAAAGGTTCATGATTCTTTGATCAGATAAATCAATGATCTTTCACAAGATTGAACTTTAAAAAAACTTATTAGAATCAGAATACCACAAATAACGAAAAAATCAGCATTTATCAAAAAAATATTTACTTTGATGACAATTCATGTCAAATTTTTGGATCATTATTAGAAAACATTGTAAAAGTTAACGATTGATGCTCCCATGCCATTTTATCTAGCCAATCTGATTTTGGTATACTGAATTCCCACTTAATCAGAGGTTCTTCAGCCTACGAATACATCCAAAAAGTTTGTGGATCAGTTTGTATAAAATGTTTTTACGCTAAAAATTAAAATAAATATAAGTATCTCAATTGAACACTCAAGTATTAGTAGCTCGTCTTGTTCACGTTGATAATACTCTCTCACACACGATAAATACTAGTAACATAATAAAAATGAATTAGAAATAAAGTAGCGTTGATATCTAATAGCATATTAAACAGTGTACTCATGCACCTCATGCTGACTATGTTTTTCATTTAACGGGCCTGCTTTGTTGTCATTGTCGTCATCCTGTGATCTCTTTTTTTTTATATCTGTCGTTTCTTATAACAGCTCTGATAATTTTTGCAATGAATATATTGCTTTTTGAGAAGTGTATATTTTTTCTTCTATATGCTGGACCCTCTCTGTGAGTTGCAGATCATAGTAACGCTCGTAGAAATTATGTTACCATTTCTTATAATGCTCTAGGATTGTCTCTCCTTCAAAAGTATTGAAATTTGTTAAATCCTTACAAAACGAACTTATACTGTTGGGAATTTTCTTGTGATTAGTTTTTAAGATAACGTTGAATGAATCAATCCAATCTTCATAAACAGTGGTTCAGGCTGGAATTATATTTTCAGTCTCCAAATGATAGTTTAGATAATGTTTAAGTTTTCAGTATTGGGCATCTACTTTTTTAAAATAATTGTTAACATCCAAATAATCAGGTGCCAAAAAATGTATGTGGATATTCGATCTTAACGTCACAGTCATTTTTTTTATTATTGTCAGAAGCGCCTATAACGTGATCAATCAAATTTATTAAGTCGCAATTCTATATCACATGATCAGTAATGATGTTAGGGTAAAAACGATTTGCTTCATTGTTTGTACTTTTGGGTAATGTAACTATGCTAAAGTTTCTAATGTCAGCCAGTCTCTGGTGGTGAGAACTTCCCTTGTGTCTTTGGATACTTAGGAGAAGCTATAGCTTCGTGTCGACCGGTCTCTGATGGTGAAATTATGAGTTATTTGTGACTAACAACTGTTCGCGTCAGCTGTTCTCTAGCGGTGACAGTTGATTTATTGATTTTGCTGAAGTTTCTCATGTCGGCCGATCTTTGGCGGTGAGAACTTCCCTTATATCTTTAGATACTTAGGAGAAGCCATAGTTTCATGTCAGCCGTTCTCTGACGATGAAGCTACGAATCAATGAATATCCAAGTTATTTCTTAGTAATCACAGCCTTTATCAGTCAAATCAGATAATAACACACCACACAGTTAAAATTTATAAACCTGATCAGGATCCTAGGCTATTTAATACGAGTTCTAGCATAAGTTATTTCTTTGCTCTTAGGATAATTTTTACAAATAATTTATTTTTACACTGATTACTAACCATTATTTACAATAGAAAAATTTAACGCTATCCCGTACATAAAGATCATCAAAGGGATATTGGTTAACCTGCACAAATCATTCAGTACGCATAAAATAAAAAAGTCAATCATATCTTTATTTCATTATTTCTTCAAGAAATAGAGCTTCAATGCTAAGCTATTTTTTTTGTAAAATAATATGAGAAAAGGCTGGCTGGCTAAGTAAAAATAATAGAGTAGCAGGATGTTTTAAGGGAGGAAAAGCATAAAAAACACGCCTGCTTATTAAGCCATCCAGCCCCTAGACCCTTCACAAAAAGGGAAAATGGCAGTTCCTTTCTCGCTACTCACTATTAACACTATTAACTATTTTACTATTGGTTTAGGCACCTATTTTATCCAAGTTACTACCCTTTAAGTCATTAATTCTATGATAATAATTTTTGATCATATCTCTACTAAGTTTTTCAACCCCAAGATTGATAATATCAACGGCAACAATACCACACATATCATCTAAAGAACATTTCTTTTCTTCCATGATCTTATCGAAAATATTTTAAATTTGTTCCAGATTACTGAAGATATATTCAAAAATGATTGTCAGCTCGAATCCGAGGAATTTGATGAAGACTTGCTTTGCTGGTCAGATCCTAATTTGAGCGAGGAAGCGTTGTTGATTGATTTCACTTTGAAGCGTTATTAACATCCTGCCGACTGACTCAAAATCAGTTGCAATTTGACTAAAATTATTATCGTAGGTTTCTATAACTTACTTGATTTTGTTATATTTCTATTTATCGTGTTAATAATATTCTGTGCCTCCGTTGCATAACTAGTATCACAGGAATTTATTTCGAATTTGATCTTGCCGATTTGTTCAGCGATAGTAGTGTTGATCTTAGTTTTACAAGAGTTTTTTTCAAGGGCATTTTTTTACTTTATGTCTTATAAGAAGAACCATATGATAATAAATCCTATACACAAATGGATATTTTCAGGGGTTATCTTCGCAACGATAAAAATTAAAGTAGTGGTTAAAGTCATAAATGGCAGATTTTCTAAAATGATAAATGGATGCATTTATGCAAAGAAATTCCATTAGAAATTTAATTATGAAACGTGCGGATTCCTTTGATTTAAGGTGAGTGGAATTAAGTTTGATGAGTTTATTTTTGTGAGACCTTCGTTAATGTCACGTTAGTTTTGCAAGACATCAGAAAATTGCATTTTTTATAGAGTTATGTTTTGATCATCATTTATTTCACGTAAAGCAGAGAAGATGCGAGAACGATTTTTTTAACTTGATAGAAAACGTAATCATATATTTAAGGTATTAGCATTTCTTTGATTATTAATAGTATCTATAATTTATTTTTAGAATTAGAAATGTATTCCCTGACAATTATACAAATCATTTAACAGACTAAGAATGAACATTAATTCAGTTTAATTAGCAAGAGATTATATAATACTGATAAATCATGGATCGCTTTACTGGTAATCGCATTGACTCACAAAGTTTAAAAATAAGGTTGGTATTTTTATGATGAATTCGCTCTATAATAGAAAATTTTTCTCATACCAGTCAACACAATCCCATATAGATAGTCATAATCCTCAGCCTTAAATGCTTCGTCTGCAGTTCGCTCATGTAGAAGGAACTCTTGAGTTATTTTATATTTTGAAGGTAACCAATCTTAACGATTTGTGATTTTCTCTAAGTGATACACAAAAGATCCTCCATCTCAGTTATAGTGTATTCAACTCTTCTAGATGCTTCTTCACCTGAAATATCCCTCTGCAATTCTATATGGATTTTTTTATTAGTCATTCTTCTTGCAATTGATATTGATGCGTGTAATACAGATGAAATAAATTCGCAATGCGTTACTTCGTTAGCCTCTATTATTGATTTTACATTCATTAACCATAGTATTATTTCATTCATGCACTATTCAAGGATTTTATCATTATCATTTATTTTTTCAGAAACTATTACGAAAAAATGTTAGTTATCTTTGATCACTTTGCCAAGAAATTTCAGCGAACTTGGTTCGCCCAAATAATGTCAAGAAAAAATACCACATACCTGGATTGAATTGCTTGATGCTCGTTATATCCTCACGAGAAACTTCGTAATTTTTGTTCTGATATCTCTTCAATAAAATCCGCAAGTCTAACTGCTGTTCCACCTTTTAAATCATAACTGTGAAACTTTTCTTCCGTAGTCTTGAGAAAGTTACGGCCAGAAATTCTTTCATTGCGAAATATTTTGAAGTCTGCTTCAATAAGTTTTAGATCTCGCCTCTGTAAATAGTCAATAAGCTCCTCTGTATCTAGATCCTTCACAACGTCCGCCATCGTGCAAGTTGACCTTTTTTCAGTCAAAGTGGAGAATGTAGAAATGGGTGTGGAAGGCGAAAACATTTTTCATATTGGTATAAGGCATAAAAAAATTCTTATTTATGCGATACATTATGAAGTGAGATAATGCAAGGGAAGAGAATGAAAAATTTTTTCGTTTATTTTTAGGTGGATCAGTGGCTTTTTATGTAAATAGATTATATAGAATGGCAAGTACACGACGATCTCAGAGATTGCAGAGATTTTGACTTCCTAAGACATAAGTCCCTTGACATATACACTAATAGAGATTGATAGGCTAACCTTCCTAATTGCCTTTTTGAGATTCGTTTACGCTAGTTCTTATCACAGAAGCATATTTAATATAGAAACAATTTCAATAAAAAATAAAGCAGAAAATAACTACTATCTATGTTATACTAACTCTTACGCTAATCTCTGATTTGCAAATTTAATATACGTGATATGTTTTTCGTCGCTTATTTTTATCTGAGGTATACACAAACTGGTTATTTCTTATGATCTGTTTCATGATAAAAAAAACTAGCAATGAGTTAAAAAGAGCCATAAGAGGGATAGGCTTATTGTTTCTCATTAGTAATTTTATCAAATTTCATATATTACAATAATTTAACATTTCCTAGATCATCACAATTATTGACTTTTTTATGGCATAACCATGAGTCTCCGACTCTACTTTACAAATGAGATCGCCTAAATTAAGGGGTTGGTTTGTTTAGCATCCAAAAGTTTCGATCTCTTATATCCACAGGTATAAGTAATTGCATCACAGGCATAATCTGCCAGGAATTATCCATTCAATAATTATCAAGATCCTAACCTTTCACGGGATTGGCTAAAGTATCCAAGAGTGTATTATCTTAAATGCATTAGACCTAGAGAATGCATTAAATAATATATTTTTTTCTCGATTAGATATGTCTGGAAGACGTCTAGTAAATTCTATGATACTGCTCCTAACATTTGCAGTGAATAAAAAAAAATCTTGCCAGAGATATTCTTGAAAATTTATATATTTCCGCAGTGCTCCTATTTTTAGATCCATATGTGCTATTTTTGTAATAATAGTTTAATATATGCTATTTTGTATTAATGGAGATGAAATGCCATCGATCAATAAAAAAAAATATTTAGCGATATATGTCATACGCAGTACCTAATAATACGTCATTATTATACTTTTCTGCAGTAACTATACTGTTTTAAGTGTCATATAATATTGCTCCCTCTGGATTTAGTGTCAAGTGATCCTTTACACATATACTATTGTATCATATGATACCGCTCCCTCTGGGTTTAGTGTCAAGTGATCCTTTACACATATACTTGTTATGATACTACTCCTATTAGGTCAGGAATCTGTAAAATTCTTTCGATTTGAGCCACGATCACATGATAAAAATTATATCCAAAAATTTCGATCTTTGAAAAAATAAAAATAAATAAGATCATTTATTAAATATATTTGGCCAATGCTTTCTATTACATATAAAAATAAAACAAATCATATATTGCTAAATCTATGTAAATATGTTTGAGCTAATGTCTATATCAAAAAATAAATTAGAGGCGTGATCATTTTTTAGAATCTATATATATATAAATATACACAGCGTCAGCTAATAATGTTATTCAATCAATCTGCATTGGTATCCCCTCCTCATTTAGATCTAAATCATCAAATTGATCTTCAAGCCAATTTGGTCAAGAAGAATTCGCTCTAACCCTTTCTTGAATGATCTTTATTTCTTTATCAGTAAATTTTCCAAAAGACGATAGTAAGATTCTCTTAATTCGCTTGATCTCGACTCTTCCCAAACCTTCCGTTTTGAATATGTTGTAAATATTTTTAGCTGAGCGTTTTTTCTTGTTAAAGATATTACGAGACATGTTAGTAAAAAATTGTCATTTAATTTCTGCATTAAGCAAGATTTGCGCGGTTTGAAGAGGGTGAATGAATGTAAATTAAGCCAATTTCTTCTCTAATGCTTCCTCGAGAGGATAGTGTGAGTCAAGGATTTCATATTCTATGCAGGATACTTCACGTGTTTTTTTTTTAAGAATCTTTTCAGCATCAAGTATTTTATTGTGTAATTCGACGAACGCCATATCTGGAGTTATGAGGTTTTCCATTTTCACATTTATCATCGGCAACGGATTAAAGTCTTGTGATTTGTTGGATAACTTTTTAAAAAATTTTTTAACCTATCTTCTTCTTGAGGATTTAACCTTGCATCATCATCCTTACCAAGATAAATAGGTCGTTGATAACAAAGACAAGTCATATATTTTTTTAAGGAAATAATAATATATCTAAAATGAAAGCTATGAAGATAGAACAATCTTACGACTGGTTCCAGATTAGCTCTATCAAGTTCAAATAATAGATCAGGTTCATTACAGAAAGAACACGTTTCAGATCCTCCTTGAGCAGATTTTCTTTGAGAATTAATAGGTGCAGTGAGTTGAATAGTGTGATAAGGGATACTTCTGTCAGGTATATTCTCATCAAATATTTCTTCTTCAATGGCCAATGGAGGGATGTTATTAGATCTTTCTGATTCCATTAGTATTTTTTGAGATGTGATTTATAAAAAAAATGTTATTATGAGCGAAAGGAGGGAGTTTTTATACTTTTTGAATACTCCACTTGTGATCGCAAAATTGTAATAACTAGAACTTGCTAGAAGAAATACTCCTATTAGACTTTTGGATAACAAAGGTCTTTATTATCAACTGAAAATACATAATGAGGTATTTTTGCCTAGACTTGAGCGGGAACTTTAGCATCAGACCTAAGATCTAAATTCATGTGATCACAGATATATAGTTTACTCATATTACATATAGTTTACTTTATCAAAATATAATAAAAAATTTTATTGATTATTCAAAACATATATATATCAAAGATATCTTAATATTACATATGTATCTTTGTATTCTACTGCCAGTTATGAAAAAAATAGCTAGGTTTATTAGCAAATAATGCTATTGATATATTGTTCACTACTAAAAACTAATCCTCACGTTTAAAATCAGTACTAGCGTAATTAATAGTTACATTGATGATATTGGCGCTTTGGGAAAAAGAAGAGAGAGTAAATGTAATTGGCTTAGAAATTGCAGATGTTTCGAGAGATGATGTGATCGATCTTGAGGTAATAGGGGAATTTTCGACAGTTTTAAACATTCTTTTGAATGATGATGCAGCCTCATTCCTGTTGCTCGTCTGACCTTTCACCATAATTAATAGTAACATTAATCACATTCACATTTTGTGAAAAAGAAGGGATAGTAGGATTACAGGTCTAGAGATATTAGATCTTTCAACAGTTGGTGTCATTAGTTTTGACGTGGTGAGTAATAATGTCTTAGAAGAACTCGCACTACTTGACCTAATATTTTCGTCATATATCTACTCAAATGAAAGTTCTAGTGAATGGTGATGGATAGAATCATGTTAATTTAGAGATAATCACCAGCTTATTTTCTACAGAAATATACTTAATTTTAACCAGAACATCATTGAGAACTCTTCGTAAATTTCTTCGCTAACTAAACTTCTTTTCGTTTCAGTACCTTCTTTATATTTTTTCGCTGTCTAAAATAATAATATGCATTATTAACCAGTCAGATCTTTATAGAAGATAAGCAAGACACTACTTACATAAAAAACTTTCGTAAGACCTAAGAATTTTTTATGGCAGGCGTCACCAGTGAAGTAATTAGTATTTTTTTGATCATTTATTTTTTTTGCAATCTCGTTCCAAAATAGATACTTCTTTTTATTTGTAGTAGTATGATACTTCACATTTCTATTTTTTCATTCATCAATAAGGATGCAAAGCTAGACATTAGAGAACTCTATAATTGACTACATAGTGAGAAGATAATCTAGGGACTATTATATAAAAAATATTGAGTGATGTGTTAGAATCATTGCGAGGCAAATTAATCGATCAATATAATGATTAATCAAATAATAACAATGGCTTAGCTATCATGTCAATAGATTAAGGATAGTGAAATCTGATTGACTGATTATCTTATGATTTATAAATACTTGCCAGCGTCTGGAACATTCCTAGAACTATCGAAGAACTGGCAGGAATCTAGGATGATACATGTGATATACGTCATACCTCAAACTGATTTAGCCAAGCACTTGTGCATATGCATGTAAATATAATTAGCTTAGTCAGCGAAATATAACCTATATAAATCCTGTAATCGAATAAAAAAATGAATCTGATATTTTATTATAATATACTTGCTATAAACTGCTATAACAAAAAATATTTGCTAAAAACGCTATATATCACTAAAATTACTATAAGTCTTATTTATTGTTCGTAATTACATATAATTATCAAATATGCCTAGTGCAATGGTTAAGATCATATTAGATAAGATTTATAATAAAACTATACCTAAACCTATCAATCTCTGCCTCAGATATAATATGGACATGTTTTTAAATATCAATCTCATACTGATAACTATCGATATGAAAAAGAAGTTGAAATAGAAAAATAATACGATCATTTATCCATTATTAGACTTCATGAAACTTCTCGACAATAAGCTGTTCGTATAAGAGCTCCTTTACAAGAACTACTTTCTAAGCGAAAATATAGTTTATATCATGTGTACTGCCTTTTCAGTTTATTTGGGCAAGTAGAATCCAAAATATACTATATTAATAGTGAGCTATATAAAGATTACTTCCAATATCATAGACCTAGTATCCATAAAAGTCAAATAGCTATTTGCTTCAAATGCTGAAAATTAGTGAAGATTACTGAAGTAGAGCCTAGAAAAGAATATTATAGTGGCTGAGAGAGATGGGCCTATGAAGTTGAGTCTGAAGATTTAATAAAAAATTATTGGAATTACTTTTGCTTCAAGGTCAAATCTGTAACTATAGTAAAAAATACTATGACAAGTACTCCTGTTACCTCTAATAACCAAGAAATGATTTCACTAACCTCTAGTAAAATATTTATCTCGTCTCTATATGCAAAATAGCTAAAAGGCACTGTATTGAGATTGGGGGATAGAACAGAAATTATGGTAGTTTAACTAACTGATTCTGACTATTACTTTCGACTGAATAATAATATTATTTATCTCAACTATATTCATAAATTATTTTTTTGCGACTATATAATCTACATGTAATGAAATTACAATCGAAGGTGTAATCGTATCATATGCAGATGCTATGTATGATCTGCCTATTCTGGGTTAGATTTTCTAATCTATTTTAATAAAGTATTTTTTGAGAAGTTCAGGAAGATCAATGAAGCGATCTTGGAGATTCTTGATTGCTAGACAATATAACTATCAGTTTGAGAATTTCTATGCGACAGTTATCTAGCAAGCTTATAGGAATTACAAGAAAAAACCCAAATCTTTGGCAAAATGAGTTTAAAAGATAGTGAGAAATGATGGTACTCCTGATGATATGAAGTTTTTAGGTATAAAAATGAATCAAAACAATCAAGATATATTTGTTATAGGGATGAAAAACGTTGTTATCCAATAAGAAATGATTAGATGTATAAGAAGATAGCCTAATTATAGATACGATTAGATACAGTATCACACATACTTGTTAGGAAATTATTATATCAGCAAGGCTATATGATTGTTAGAGGTACATATTGGCTTGACATGTTAAAATGGCTACAGAATCCTGAATATTATAGTAGTATTCATAAAAAATATATAATTATGCATTCTTCATCAGAATTTCAGAATACGAGACATATAAGAATAAATCATCAGAAATAAAAAAACCTATATGCGATTTGCCATTAAAATACATATATCGTATTTATGGGAAAAAAGATATTACCGTGAATTTTACAGACTTAGATAATAATTGTGAGTTTATGCGTCAAATTTTCCAGATTAGACCTTGATCCAGATCTTGAATATTGTCTTAATAAAATAATATACTATTCAACCATACGAAATACCTCCAGTATGTGACATAAATTAGCACATTTTTGATTCTCATTAAAATATATATGATGTAATAGGTGATACATCACAAATCATCTGTGCGATAAATTGATTTTCATATATAAGAAATCGATTTCCAAAATATTTCAAATTTTTTCCTTACAATATTTAGCAGAATAAGATTTAGCGAAATAGCATTTATTAATATGTATATTTGCTTCAGAGGGACAGAATATTCCAAGTAGAATAATATCTATAACGTTGCCAGGTCTTAGTATTAACTATTGAGTGATCAGGTAAGCGAAAAAAGTCTGTATATACATTATCACAACGCCTTTTGTAAATGTTGAGATCTTTAATGCACATTCTGCATATTTTTACTAACGAACATAGAATTTTGGCACAAAATGCCTTGCATATTTCTCCTATCTCTTCCTCAATATAGATGTGAGTGTAAATGTGAGAAAATAGTGGCATTTAAAAGGGTGTACAGTCAACTCTTGTTATAGCGAACTCTTGATATAATGAATTTTTTGAACAAATATAATAAAAATACTCTTGTTATAGCGAATTGGCCAATCAAATCTCTTAAATCTTCACTATAGCCTTATAGCGAAGTTGAGGTCTAGGACATAGAGTTCGTTATAACAAGAGTTGACTGTATAGATAATTTTTAGCTTTTTGTCATTTATTTTGCTGTTAGCATTATCTCAGTATATTAATATTATTTAATATTCTAAACTAACTATGTAAATATGTCTACTGTAATATATAATAAGATTTATGAATTCTTAATGACTGCTGAGGAACGTTAAATAAACGCTACGTCTGTTATTTATCTTAGAATGAAAGAAAACCGCTGGGTTTTCTAGATAGAGTTAAAATTAATTGTAGAATGAGCTGTGGGTTCTGTTAGCAATGCATTTATAGAAGATTCTTTTCGTCAATTAAAAATTTTTTAAATCCTACCACAGGTTAGTTAAGATTTATGCAAATATTTTAGCTTTTTATTATTATATGATGATACTATGTGATCGTTTACTAAAGTAAACCTGAATAAACAAGTTATTTTTTAGTTTGTTGCTTATGTTTAATCTACCCATTCAGCTCACTTACTAGTAAATACTTACACGTAATAGAGGAGTGTATATGCTATAATCTGTTATGCAGTTTTGTAGTTTACCCTATCAACCTATTATATGAAAAGGTTATTGCCATATTGAGGGGTGTATTAAGATATGAGTTATTATGTTGCTTTGTTAGTATCACACAAAGTTTTGTCTGCGTGATGGCCACACAAAGATGATAACTTCACATATACATTGATAATTGTATTATTTTTATGATAAGAACTACTTTTTATTTCTAAAATCTAACGCAATACTTTTTTTTTTAGTTTAACATTGGCTTTGAAGGTGTTTGTACTTTATACAATATGGGAGCAATTAAAACGGATAAGGAAATTCCTTTTAGCTCAGAACAGATTGATGATAATATAAATGATCTGAAAGAAAAGATTAGAAAAGATACTTCGCTTCTCTATTAACAATTATATTTCAAAGTAAATGCTATATCTATTCAAAGCTTAATCTGG